ACAGGTCCCAAAGTCAAACAATCACTGCAGCATCACTGAGAGTTGAAATAATTTAGACAGTTTTTATCTTCCAGGTGTAAAAATTAAGTTTAACATCCAGGCATCCATGAAAACAGAATTTATTAAATTTAACAGAGTTTGAAGTTAGCATGGAGTTAGCTTGCTAGCTTCCATCTAAATATAATATAGCATGTTCTGACTGAGAGATTTCTGAAACAAATTAAGTCGTACAGCTCTGCTATCACTTCCAACATAAATGAAGACAGAAAACTAAACAGCAGTGACGTTTGTAGGGTTACTGAAGTTGGGCTAGCTGGTATATAATGATGTGCTACGTGATCGCTAGCGACACAGCTATGTTAGCATAACATAAACACAGTGAAGCTGGAGGATGGAGGATTTTTCCACTCCATAAAATTTAATGTGAGGGTTCCTGATGGTTAGGGACAAATATAATTGCATGGCAGGATGCTGTAAACAGACCAAACTTCAGTCAGGAGAACAACTGAGATAATCCATCCACAATACGAGGTTAGTCATTAATATACTGCTGCATGAGCTGGGCTGTAGTTACGTGCAAGGTTTTAAAAACTGAGTTTTAAAATGAATAGCAGTAATTAAAACTGAGAGAGGCCGACAGTGATCACTGACTGTTTTTAGGGGCTCTTTGAGATTAAATAGAACAAGATACAAAGCATTAAAACATGTTAAAAACACAAAAGCCTTATTAAACACAGGGTAGTTTGGGCCTGGAAGCAGGATCACGTCATCACTTAAAGACCGGATAGTACTAAACATGCAAAATGCCCCAGGGACCTGATTTCTTCCTGATGCTCTTTGAGGACTCAAACACCTCCCTTGCATCAGACTTACTCTAACACCAGATGACCTACTGCTCAGTGATAGTTCATTAAACGAGGCCCTCATAAAGCTGCAGGCACTGACACTATTCCAGGACAGGTACCGAGAGACTGTCCACATCAGCTGTTAGTGCCATACATCAGCGGTCCCCAACCTTTTTTGCGCCACCGGTTTATGCCCGACAATATTTTCTCGGCCTTTAAGGTGTCGCGGATAAATACAACAAAATAAAACTAGTACCGGTACCGAAAAAAAAGAAAATTTATTCATAACACACGTGAAAAGACCAAGGAAAACCGAGTTAACGATAAAAACGATAACAAAATAACGCTCAAAACCGATAAAAAACCCAAAAAACCATAAATTTCACACCTGAGCCTCAACTCTCGCGGCCCGGTACCAAACGACTCACGGACCGGTACCGGTCCGAGGCCCGGGGGTTAGGGACCGCTGCCATACATCTCCGCTTTGATCATGTGCTCAGATTCTGGGTGAAAGTGGTGTCAGCTCTAGTGGATGCTCTTTTCCAAAATATTTTGACTTCGACTTCATCTTCATGCGTCCCACTCACATTTTCTGTCTTTCCCACAGGAGCCATTCGCTAATCAGTGAACTCTCGGTTAACCCATTCAGCAGCGTCTGACTGTGATGCTCCTAGCTGCCTTTTCTACTTGTCTCAAGAGAGCCACCAAGTTAAATTACATTCCTTTACTCTGAAGGCTCTAGCGGACCTCTTTTGAGTTATCGACCCAGCATGCTGGAGTGGCTGTGAGTGCCGGCATTGATTGATGCTAGAAAAACGTCTTTCATATTTAAATGGTGCTTTTAAACAAGTTGTAGAAAAAGTAAATTATATAATAATACTAATTCACTTGTCTGCTCTTTAAGGTGGAAATTTGGAGGCAGCAGAAATAACTTGTGACATATCACTTTCTAAATAACTGTGTTGAATTCATTAGCTATAAACATTAATTAACTAATAAACATTAGCCTTTATTGGAGTTGTGTTTCTGGCAACCTAATGAATGAAAATCCAATACTGACTCTGCTTCAGGTTGGTTTTTGTCTCCTGAGAGAAATGCCTGTCTCTGCTGTGTACACCAACCAATCTCTCAGAGTATCAATGAACTGCTTCATAATTTAGTGATATTTACGGTGTCTGCCGGATGACAGCGAGTGCCTTCAATTTAAATTCTAAAGCTCTTCTTGGATGCTGCCACTCATTAATGCTTCGTGCTATTCAATGTCAGGAGCTGAAAAGGAAAGGAGAGCAAACGGTTATTTCAAAACACCACAGGACTTCATAATGAAATGTAAAACTCTGAGTAGGGTTTAAATGACTGCTTAAAGGGTATCAAGGTAATGCTGCAGGGGAAAACAGTGGTTGGAGCCCGTGGCATAACCAAAATTACTAGCAATGTGCCGCGTACTTAAAATCTCCTTACGTTTGGTCGGCTCGAAGAGGGGACCAGGTCTGCAACCACTTGTGTGACTTTGGTGAATCAAGAACAGCAATAAGACTGAATCAGTTCGCTGTCAGTTTACAATCGAATATGTTAACGTTGGCAATTACATGCAATCTGTTTGTGATACTTAACGATGATAAAATAGTGAAAATAGCAAATCTGTTGTGGGAAATGACCAAATTATGACCAAAGCCTAG